TGTGTGTGGCCAGCTCAGCCCACCAGGGGGCGGGGCTGGCTGGCATGTGGTGCTGGAGGATTGAACCGTGGTCCTTGTGCTTTGCCAAGCTTGTTTCAAGTAGGTGCTTTAGACCACTGAGCCATCTCTCCAGCCCCTGGATATTTCATTTATGGACACAATGACATGTGGTCTTTGTGTCTGGCTGCTTTCATTCTCTGTGATATTTTCTTTTCTTTTTGTACCCAAAATCAAGCTTAGGACCTCGCAATTGCCTGGCAGGCACTGTACCACTGCCTGAACTATATTCCTAGCCCTGTAATATTTTCAAGGATAATCCACATCTTACAATGTGGCAGTGTTTCATTCTTTTTAGTTGCTAAACAATATACCACTGTCTGGTGATGGAGGCCAGTGCAGTGGTAGAGAGCTTGCCTGGCACACATGAGGCCCTGAGCTCCATACTCGCAACTGTGGAGGGAATTAGCTATAGCACGGATTTGCCATGTTCTTCTTATCCACCAATAAATTGATGGAGATTTTGGTTAGTTTCACTGTTCTTATTTTTGAAACATTTTCTTTTTAACTAATATGAATAATGCTGCTGGGAATGTTGGTAGACATGTATCTGCTTGATCTTTTGCTTTATTTTCTTGGTTTTTATGCAAGAGTGAAATCACTGGGTGGCATGCTAAATTGTCTACCTGCTTGAGGAACTGTTGTATGTTATGTCCAAGCAGCTCTGCCTTTTCAAATTTGCACCTGTGATGTACACTGCTTCGGACTTCTCCACATCTGCCCACTACTTGTTACTCGTTTTGGGCGACAGCCATCCTAGTGGGTATGATACCCTCTCAGGGGGTTGATTTGCATTTTCCCAGTGCCTGGGGATGTTGGACATCTTTTCACGTGCTTGCAGGCAGCTTGTACATTTTGTGCATCTTTGGAGCGCTACGTAGTTTTAAGTACCAGAACGGGAAGTGGCCAAGGTTCCTCCTTACAGAAAAGACTGAGACTCGCAGAATCCCTGGCGGGCTTCTGGGAGGAAGGGAGCGGGGCGGGCTCGCAGTTAGTTCCGGGAGGACGCCAGGGGTTATATCAGGCAGCGGTTTCACTTTTGCGACCGGACATCTCGCAGCCGCGGAGCTGCTTTGTTGTGTGCTCCTGCGCTGAGCAGGCACTGAGACCTCTTTTGCAGCGCTGACTGGCTTCCTTCGCTTCCTGGACATATCCGTACCGGCTCTGCACCGGGCCATCGGGTGAGTTATACGTGCCTACCAGGCATTCCCGGTCCTCCCAACCCCAACCCCCATCCTATCCCTGCTGGGAAGCCGTGCAACACCAGATTAGGGTGGGACCCGTCAGGTTCTGGGAAGGCAGCTCCACATCCTGGCAGCCAGCCTGTATTTGAGCTTGACCTTGGAGTCAGTCTTACAGGCACCCAGGCCACTCGCTGGCCCACCCTCCAACTTCAGCGAGTTCCTGGCCCAGGCTTCCTGGGTGGGGGCGTGGCCACACAAACACTTACTCAGGACTCTAGTGTCTGGTGCTGGCCAGGTTTGGCCCTGACTCCTGAGGTCTAAGCCCTGGAAAGCTGGCTCCTAATGCTGTGGGCACAGGAGGGTCTGGAAGACACTGGCCAGGCTTGCCTATGCCAAGAACCTTGGAGTAGGGGCACTTCTATCTGCTTCTCAGCTAGGAAGAGGCTGCCATACAAGTAGGCACTCCAGGGTGCCCCCATAACTGCCCTAAACCAACCTGTTTGGCTTACAAGGTAGTAGCCTCTACTGGTCGGGGGCAAGGGCCGACTGCAACCACACAACATTGGTGTGGATGGCCCAAATCCTACTAAGGGCTGTGAGGGATGTCCTGGCCTGGAGTGCTCTGGCCCAGACAGAAAAACAGTGGCTCAGGGACAAAGTGTACAGTGTGTCTTTCTGTGTTGGGTAGTAGTTGGGGGCAAGAGCTTTCTCAGACTATGTCCCAGTACTGTCTGGATAGTGGCATGTATTAGGCAGCTTCCCCATTACTGGACAAAATACCTGACAGCAAAAATTTAAAGGAGAGGTTTATTTTGCTCACAGTTTCTGTCCATAATCCACCGGCTCTAAGCAGAGACCCCATGACAAAAGTGATGGCAGACGAACACTACCTCATTCACAGTAGCCGGGCAGCAGAACAGGGAATAGAGCAGAAGGGGAGGCAGGGAGGAGGGACCACTTATACCCTAAGGCCATGCCTCCGTGTGACCCAGACAGACCTTTAAGTGTGTTTCACCAATGTCCAGGGCAGATCCCAAAGCCAATCAAATTGTAGCTCCTCCATAGCAGTCACAGACCACTTTGGAAGGACAGAAGTCCCCTGTCTTGTAGGCATCCAAGCACTGACACCCATTCTCCTCAAGAGAATGCCTTCAACCTTTGAGAATGTGGTCCGGAGAGTGATCCGGGAGCTGGACCGGAGCAGAGAGCTCATCCTAGTGAACAGCCTTCAGAATTCTACCAGCTTCCGGCCCTATTCCTTGCTGAGAAGGAAACCCCCAACCTCATGGTTCTGGAAACCCCGTTACTCATGTGTTAACCTATCAATCAAAGACATCTTGGAGCCCGATGCCCCAGAACCAGGTATCCAAACTCATGCTGAGACAGAGCACCAACTGGGCCAGGTAGAAGAAGGTAGTAGGCTATGTCCTCTACCTTGGGTGTGGGACAAGGCCATAGCCACTGGGACAGGGCCTCAAGTCTGGTTTCCCTTCAGATTTGGAGCCTGGCAGTACCTTCCGCTTCTGTGATAACACGGATGGGAAGGTGTGGGGCAACATGGAGGTGGAAGTCCCAGGACAAGGAAGGATCTCAGGTGGGGCCACAGTGTCTGGCAGCTCCATCACTTCAGTGAACGTGTGCAGCCTGAGTGTGGGCCCAAATACCTGGGATCACATGCATAAGGAGAGGTGAGCCCCAGGGGATAAGCGCCTTCTGAACCAAGGTAGCTGTGTTCTTGGGAAGCCCACAGGAGCACATTAGGACAGTTCCCAGACATTGCCTGTGTGAGCACTGAGGGAAGTGCCAGAGGCAAGGGAATGCTGTGGCTGAAGATGGGTTGTCAGGGAAGGAGGCTACATGGGCTAGCTGCCAGTCGTGATCCCAAGGGCTGGGTGTGGGCACATGCCAGGGCCTGTATGTGGCCTGACCCACAGGCTGCTATGAGAAGGGAGTGGCAGAGACATGGTATGATGGAGAGTAGACTACAGACAGCACACAAGGGTGCTGTCTCCCTGCTGGACCTCCTCCCTCCACCTTGTACCCACCTAGACGTCATCAGGAGCACTCAGGAAGTATATCTGTGCCTGGTATCTGCAAACTCCTAGATGGCCTCCCTGTTTGACTCTGCCTACTGGTGGGGTCTGGAGAGGGACCCCAGTCGGTTGTGGGTGCACCCCAGTAAATTTCCTGCAGGCGCCTGCGGCAGCCGGAACCCAAGATTCTGCAGCAGCTTCGGAGTTGCAGGGACGACGTGTATGTGGTTACGGAGGTGCTGCAGACACAGGAGGAGGTGGAAGTCATCCGTACACGCAAGCAGGAGGGCTCAGGCCAATGTGCTGTGCCTGTAGCTATGTGCTTGAAGGTGTGTGGCCAGCCCTGGACCCTGCTGGCCCCATGTCAGCATGTGGCAGCAGAGGAGTGGAAGAGCTAGATCAACATTCCAGGGTACAGGCAGCAGTAGGGGTGGGCTCTTTCAAGACCCTTCCAGGAGAACTCCCAGCGTCACGCTTGCCCAGAGCCAGACTTACCCAAAAGCTGAGTTGGCCAGCACTGATGGCAAGCCTGTCACCATTACCCAACCCACACCCACACCTATAACCCTGTACCCAGAACACAGCCCTGAGCCTGTATCCATCCCTCAGGGTGAAGGTGAAGGCCACTTGAGCCGGGAGAAAAAGGTCACCATCCCTAAAGGCAGCATCCTCGCATTCCGGGTGGCCCAGCTGGTCATTGACTCTGACTGGGGTGAGTGTGGGGAGACCTGGGCTGGGGGGTGTTGTAGGTATTTGGCTACGCAACTGTTCAGGTCAAGGGCAAGCACCCTGGGCTCTGGCATGTAGGTGACTGGAGCAGGGCTTTACCTGACAGGGGAGCCCCTTAGGTAGGGGCAGCCCAATGACCTGCCTGTCCCCATCTGCTCTCCTTCCTGCCAGACATCTTTCTCTTTCCGGATGAGAAGCGGAGGACCTTCCCACCACCCCCACCAGGTGAGTCCTGAGGACCCCCTAGCCCAGCCCAGCCAGTGGGAGAAACCTGCTCCCTTCACCACAGAGGACTTCTCTCGTGCTCAGGGAGCAGCGCGGCTGCACAGCTTCCTGAGGGAGTAGGCACTACGCTCAAGATGTGGTCGGGTGATGGTGGGACTGCTTGGCCTCCTGCCTGTCTTGGGATGTCACTATTGGGGGTGGTGTGGGGGTGGAGGCTGAGAGGGCCCAGGTACCCCTCTGATCACTGTCCCTCTCCCCATCTCACACCCTTTCCAGGAGACCAGCCACAGCAACCCTTTAGCCTCTCCTCAGTGTTGGGGCCCATCTTTGAGCGCTTCAAGCTCCTGACAGGTCAGTACCCCTTGACCACTGCTGGGACCCCTATGGGCTCTCCTCTATGACTGACCAGGGCTATCTGTGCAGATGGGGTCGATGAGGACTGGGAGGTCACAGAAGACTTCCAGGGCCTGCAGACAGAGGTGAAAGCTGCCTCTTCAGCACTGCAGAAGCTGGAGAGAGAGCTGAGGCAGGAGTTGCTGCTGAACCTGGGGAAGGTCCTGTGTGACCCCTCAGCCCTACAGGACTTAGAGGCCCTGGTAAGTGGTGGTGCAGGGGACAGGGGAGAGTCTGCCCTAACCAGCCCAAGCTCACCAGCACCTCTGCTCCAGCTGGCACAGGGCCTGTTTGGCGCCAGGCAAGTGAAGATTCCACAGGGTCCAGCAGGTGACATCCTTGAATGCCTGGTGCTCCCATCCGGAGTGCTGGTGCAGGCACTTGCAGCCCCTATCTTTTACCTGCTGGGGGCACTGAGTGGTGAGTGGCTTCTTGGATAGGTAGATATGTACAGCATGGGGGGAGACCTGGGTTCCCTACTGGCATTTCTAGAACATACTCTCAGCCCAGGTCTCTCTCCAGCACTGAGTGAAACCCAGCAACAGCTGCTGGCTAAGGTCCTGGACAAAGGAGACCTGTCAACACAACTTGAGCTGGTAAGAAAGGCACAGTGGGAAGGATAGGGTGGTTCCTTGGGTGCATCTGGAAAGGGTGGTATGGGCAAGTGCTTCATGTCCAGGGGTTCAGGACTTGTTCCCATGTCCACAACCTTGTATTTTTCCTCACAGGTAGGCCACCTCTTGAAACAGAGCACCCCATGGCAAGAGCAAAGTGATGTGTCACTGCCCCCCAAGCTCCTTGAGAGTAACTGGGGAGAGGAGGCACCAATCTGGACCTTGCTAGAGGAATGTGGCCTGGAGCTCCAGGCGGGTGCTCCTCAGGTGCACTGGGAGCCAGAAGCACAGGGCCCCACCTGTGCACTCTATGCTTCCCTGTCACTGCTGTCAGGACTGAGCTGAGAGTCCTGCTAACCTGTGCCCATGCTCTAGGAGCTCCAGGAAGGGCAAGAGTCCAACTCAACTGCAAGGCCAGCTCACCATGATACTCTGGCGCTGGGGAAACTCAATAAACGTAGTCTACATGCGCTCACATTGGCAGCACATTGAATAAGCATGACGTGCAAAGGAAAGAATAGCCGCTGAGGGTTTGAAGGGCTGTGGGTTGGGGTAGGGTGGGTACGAGTGGGAACTGTGTCCTTGAAAGACCAGAAAGGAAATGGGGCCGGGAATAAGCATCTCTCTCCACCTTGCTCCATGAGGCTGAGGAGAGCCTGCTCTTGGATGTGCCCCTGTCCCCAGCCTCCCCAGCGTGCTTGCTTGCCTGTGAAAGATGGGCAAAGTGATTAATGAGAGACAGCTGACAAGCAGATACCCACAACTCAGGGCCACACAGACACCCCTAGAGCAGCGAGTGGTGACCCATCCTGTAGCGGGACATCAGAGCCTCCCAGCCACCAACTTGCAGGTCGCTGGAAGTCAGCAGGTTTCAAGGCACGCGTGAGTCCACTTCTTGCAGGACTCAGCAGCCCATCTACCCTGTCCTAGGGTGGGATGTGCATAAATGATATAACCAGGCTGTATGGTCACCCCTGAAAGCTTAGATGCTGGGCGTATAGCTACTTGACAGGGAGCACATTCCATGTGCAGTCTCTCAGCCTGGAGGGAAGAAGAGAAAGTGGTGTGCCCCCTTCTGTTCTAGAACATCATTGACATGCAGTCATTTTTTTGTTTTGCTTTGTCTTTTTGAGAAAGGGTTTCCCTGTACAGTTCAGACTGGCCTTGAACTTCTTTGTAGCCCAGGCTGGCCTCAAACTCTTTTTTTTTAAATTTTATTTATTTATGTGTGTGTGTGTGTGTGTGTGTGTGTGTGTGTGTGTGTGTGTG